CTTGTTCGACCTTATCGTGTAACCCCCTTTGAACTAGAAGTATTATGTTTAGTTCCTAGAGTAGTGTCAACAGAGCCCATTTCGGGGCACTGTAATACCCAAATGGTAAGGTGACCTTTTATTTCATTCTGAATAATGATTGGTATAAATTGAATAATACGATGAGCACCGAGATTCCACCCAGCACCCGGGGTTTTGCTAACGAATTGACGTCATAATTAAGAAAAAACAACGAAAAAAAACAACGTAAACAAAAAATAAGGTACAAATATGGTTACTTTTCCTCTATTCGTTTTGGAGCTGAGCCTGCTCTCGCTCACATCCATGCTCTCTCGTCACCGACTCTTTTACCTCCCCGTCCGCTTGTAATATCATATCTCACTGTCTGTCTCTTACCAGCAACATGCTCATAAGGTTCACGTAACAGTCTTGGCCTCCATATTTGGAACCAGAATTCCTGATCATTGATTCACCAAGGCACTCGAAGTTCCATGGGATTTTGGAAGCCATCCCTGGTTAGAGCTCCACAACCTCAAGGTAGGTCCACCTTTCGCACCTCTACATTAAATTTCGAGCAGAACAATCATACCTACTTGGCCCGGGGCTGCGCTTTCAAGGGTTACACTTTTACAGACCATCCTATCTGTGTTCAATAGACCACAAGCTCGCCTACATTTGAAAAAAAAACAGAATTAAGATTAGCACAAGGATGCGAGTCATGGGAAAAACTCATTGTTCCGAAAGAATTGAACCCTAGTCGGGTAGTTGTGCTAAAGATTAGACCACCACTTATGTCTCCACCTTACAGCTGGCTCAGCTTCTGATAAGATATCTCTCCCTCTTACTTTTCATAGAATTAGAATTGTGGATTTAAATACGTGAAAAAGGTTTCGCAGGGCCTAACAGTATTTTGGAGTATATGTATGTCGCTGTCCAACTTTGGCGATCCATATCCCTCGTCGCTCTCATCGTCTGAGAAGACGTTCTAATTTAATTACACCCCTATTCGGACACGGGGTCAAGCGGGCCCATCAAAAAGTGTGGTCCACATCTTCTCTAACAGCAACAAGGACAACACGTTAGTCCAAATATTACTAATAAATTTATATTATAATGAACTATTACTAATGGATTTATATTTATATCACTCGTTTCTATTTACTTTGTTATGCTTAGGTTTCTGTTCAATTACTCGCTTTGCATAAAAACCACTAAACCCACATTTTTAGTACCATCTTGAATTTCTGGTTAAGTAAGTTTGTGATGGAGAAATGACAATTGGTGTTTCACCAAACACATAGTTCGTAGTTCCAGTCCCTGCTCCGGCCCACCTAGCTTTCCCTTCCAACAGAACTGGCTAAATGATACAGGATTCGTCTAAAAGGATAAAATGACAGACACCATTCTAAGCAACTTCGCCAGCTTTTAGGCAATTACTCGTTTCAATTTCACTACAATCTTGAGTAGAAGTCGGATGTGTGGCTCATCTCATGAGCAGACTTCTACCTTCACCTTCGAGGACAGCAAGCCCAGAATTCATCACTTCTTTGTGCATACACATCTGAATTCCACTCAAAGCTGTATAGTAAAATTTGTAGGCCATGGTGGAAAATCTGCCCCACCAGAAGAGCTTTGTTTTAAACCTCATCTATAAAGCAATTGCTTTTCTATTTCCCAATCAATCATTAAGAGGGGAAACCCATTGAAGAGATCGCAAATGGTAGCATAGACCAAACTAAGAGAGGAAGAAATTGCTTTCATCTTAATTTGCTCGTGCCGACTTGTGCCACAGAAAGGTATAGAAAATAGTAGTGAATAAGA